CACGTGCTTACAATTTTCTTCAATAACCCTACCTTTTTCTACAACTGCAGAGCCGCTGTGGAAGGCAGCTGCACAATCTCAGGAAAAGATGGGCTTATTAGAACTGCTCCCATGTAAGCCAACCGCACATTCACTCCTTTCGTTTCCAGAGTGATGCACAAACTCAAAAGGTCTGTTGAGATTCTCAAGGATCCAGGTCATGGTTGTTCCAAAATACCTACATAGAGGTATTTTTTTTTCCTCTCCAAAAGATAACTGGGCTTTCTTGGTGTTTTCTTTGAAAACATTTCTGAAGTTAGAACTGAAGAAGTTCTTGGATGAGAAGTGAAACTTTTTCAAAGAAAACACCAAGGAAATTCAGAGGGGGGGGGGGATAACCCACCTTTGGGACACAGTCCAAAAGGCTCTAAAGAAAATAGGTCTGAGATGTGTTTGAATATTAATAGCTCAGGTTGGTAATTGAGCTGTTGGTTTTATCTCCCAAACTTGGCAGTTTGGCTGCAAACGTTTCGTCTCCACTGGGGGGCGGGGGCAATCTTCAGTGCGCTTCGAATTGTGCTCATCTGTCAGAGCACTGGCCCTTTAAATACCTTTAAAAGCTCAAGAAAATAGCTCTGTCAAAATCAGGAACAGAATTTCGGAACTGTAGCCTTCTGAGCTGCAAAATATTCCTGCTCCATATTGAAAGGAGAATATCCTACTCTCAATATAGAATAGTTCTAGAAGCACTAGATCAGAGGATTTGCTGGAGAGATGGAAGTACTTGCCAAAATACTATAGGTCCTATTGGCAATTAGCCCTATTAATCTGCAACATAAAAATTGGTTGGTTTCTTTAGTAGTGAGAAATTCTGCTGGAACAATTTTCATCTGTTTCATCTACCGTGCATTAAATGCCACAAAGTACAAAAAGATATTCCATGACCTCAGTGTATTCTTACTTACCTGCAGAACTGTTCCTACAGTAAGGTGAACTCAGTGGGGATTTGATTTGTTTTGAGTAAGTTTGAGTAATTTTTACAACCAAAATCCTATCAATCTCATTAACAAAATTGTAAAAACTAATGGAAGTTCTTTTTCTAAATAAATGAGTTAATTACTTACTTGAGTTATTTGCAAGGCTGCTCATGTTTACAAATAAACAGAGTATCTAACATTCAGAAAAAATATCAAAGTAATGTCATATACATCTGCATAGAACTAGATGCTTGTCATTAAAAGAATACTATGATTATATCACTTTTCCCAGAAACCTTTTGAATATAAGTAGTCCTCAACTTACAACAATTGATTTAACAACTGTTCAAACTTACAATGGCACTGAAGAAAGTGGCTTGTGGCCAGTCCTCATACTTACAACTGTTGCAGCATCCCTTATTCACATGATCAAGCTTGGCACTTGGCAACCAACATTAATTTACTACAGTTGCGGTGTCCTGGGGTTACCTGGCTGCCATTTGCGATCTTCCCAGCTGGCTTCTGACAAGCATTCAATGGGGAAACTGATTCGCTTAACGACTCTGTGATTCACTTAACAACTCCAGTCATTCATTTAACAAAACATGCCAAAACAGGTCATAAAATTGGGTGAGACTCATTCAACAACCACCTCACTTAGTAATGGAAATTCTTGTTCCCGTTGTGGTCACAGGATCTACCTGTAATCTTTTTCACAGGAACTTACTTCGGCATACCTTGTCCCAAAGTAGCTGGAGGCATGCTTAGTATGAAAAGAACTGCATGGCAGAAATCTTTTTATGTTTTTACTTTAGTGTGATTTACAAAGTGAATTAAGATCCATAGCTGCACTGCTTTATTAAATCATCTGTAACCTATGTTTCACCCTCTGGTACCATCATGGAGATTCTCAATCATCCCAGTCACAGTTATCCCAAAGGTGCTTTTCCCAAAAGGCAACTGGACTTTCTTGGTTTTCTTTTCTCCTTTGAGAAATGCATTCTAAAAGACTGGTGGGGAAATGGAAGAGTTTATATTCTTTGCAGTCTTGAGGGTTGGTCATGGAGACCACTTAGGGTTTATCTGTAGGCTCAGAGTCACCTAAATCAGAGTGCAAACACACGTGGAACCTTCTTGGGGCTGCTGAAACGATTGTGTTGTAAATAGGTGATATGTGGTGTCATATCCCTCCCTCTCTGTTGAGGGAGGGCTGTTCCAATTTGGATACAGAATTCTTTATTGGCCAAGGAATTTGTCTCCAGTGCATTAGCTCTCTTGTTGAAGCAACAAGTGATAAATCATGATCATAACCATAAAATACATTCATAATAAATCATAAGATACAACATAAGATATAATAATATAAGATGGCCGCATTGACCCCTCTTTCAAACGAGTGCTTCTCTCTGTCCAGAATGTGAACTTGGCTGTCTTCAAAAGAGTGATCTTTGTCTTTCAGATGCAGATGGACTGCTGAATCCTGTTCTGATGAGTTTGTTCTTATGTGTTGTGTCATGCTTTTGTGAGGTGATTGTTTTGTTTCCCCAATGGGCAGGTTACACGTATCTCACTGCATTGCGCCACATATATCACATTGCTCTGTTTGTGTCTAGGTATTTTGTCCTTAGAGTGGACAGGCTACTATCTTAATGCATTCCTGGGCTTACAGTGTGCATGTATGTTGTATTGGCTGAAAATCCTCCCAAGCTTTTCCAATATTCCTACAATCTTTGGAATGATGTTGCTCTGTTTGTTGCCCCAAAGGAGGTCCTGCTGGATCTTTTTGTGGACTTGATGAAGGCTCAGTTAGGATAGTTACAAAGTTCTGAAGGCTTCCTTGGTGTGTGTTCTTTCTCTTTCCCCTTTTTGGTGATGATTTTCATCCAACACAACATACATGCACACTTTTAAAACCAGGAATACATTAAAAGAAAGAAGCTTGTCCACCCAAAGGGCAAAATACCCTGACACAAATAGAGCAATGTAGTATATGCAGTGCATCTGCATCTGAAAGACAAGGGTAACTCTTTTGAAGACAGCAAAGTCCACATTTTGGACAGAGAGGGCCACTGGTCTGAAAGAGGAGTCAAAGAGGTCATCTGTGTCAAAATTGAACAGCCCTCCCTCAACCAATATGATCTGGCAAGGTTAGCATGCTCCAGGTTCCTTCATTTAAGGAATGCCATCTGCAGGGACCCGGGAGGGCACTTCTCTATTGCAGCACCCAACTTATGAAATAAGGTTTCTTGGGAGATATAAATGCCCTCTTCCCCACCGTCTTGGGATGACTGACATCTCTTAATTTAGGTCACTCTCCTTCATTTCTTCCCTGTTCCTTATTCTGTCCTCTCTATCCTTTTTTCTGCCTTGTTTTTACTGTTTTTCTTTGTTTAAATCACTGGTAAACTACCCAGCAGTGGTTGGAAGTTGGATGGCATTTACACTTAAATAATAATAAATACAACCTATTAGATACGAAAATGGAAATTGAAAGATTATAGGACAAACCTACCATGGTGGTCTTAGCGGTTATCAGTACCTTGACTGCCTTACCAAAATTCCTGGATGGCCCTCAGAAAATATGCACATTAACAAAATTTCCATCTGCCAATTACAAAAGGCCACACTGCTTGGATCCGCAGATATATTACACATCCTAGGTTCTTGGGAAGAACTTAATGTGCACAAAGCCTAATACCAGCTAAAAATGGCAGCTGTGATTTCACACTGTTGTGTATATAATAACGATAGTGATAATGATGTCCCTTTCCATCACTATTTCCCAGCTATGGTTCAGAAGCTTCTAAACAAAACATCAATTAACAGAAGTCACTGATAACCTAATCTCTGATAAATCTCTGGAGTTCATTTTTAAATGGGCTGCCATTACTGTAATTACTGGCAGCAAATTCTCCAATTTTAGAATAAAAAAAATATTTCTTTCTGTAGGCCTTGGACCACTCTACATTCAATTTCAATGAATAGCTTTAAATTGTAATATTATGATCCAAGGAAAAAAGGTTCTATTTATATGATCTTTGTCACTGGATGTATTTAGGAAACCTCACCCTCTTTTCAGTTTGATCTTACACACTTTTATATGTGTACATTCCCGAAGACCAATTGAACTTTTTATTACAAAAATGATTGCCTGTTTTTTTTCCAGCTCCAAAGTGTCTCCATGCAACATCCATCTAAACTGAACTATTTTTGATTACTATTCTCTCCCACTCTTTTGATTTGTATCACAGCGGTTTCCAACCTTTTCGGCTTTGCAGACTGGCGGGGAGTGGGGGGAGGGGTAAGAGAGAGGATGGTTCTGCACAAGTGGCGGGAGAGCACACACACGCAGCTCCATTTGCACAACCACCGGGCATGCGCACCTGCTACGCATGCAAGTAGAGCTGCGCACACACGCCTCATCCGCCTCTTCCACAGCCCAGTTCTGAACAGACCACGGCCCGGGAGTGGGCTGTGGCCCGGGGATTGGGGACCCCTGTTATATCTCATTTCCTGGTGTAAAAATAATACAATATACATTCAATGGAAATTACAGTATATCTTAAGTCTAGAATTCTAAGATTTCTGGCTCTAGTTTGTGACTTAAGCCTAAGTAAGCAGAATGCAAATGCTCTGAGCATGTTTATTCTGCTACTGGAGCAAAGAAAAGTAATGCTCTTCTGGATTTTAACCAAATATAATTACTTACCTAATATTCACTGCTACTTTCTGCCGTAATTAGTTAAATATCAAATGTTCACTGTTTCTACTAAATAATCATCCCAGGGAGTGTGTTTTACACTACTTAACATTTAGCCTGTATGATGTAACCCCATCAGTTCAATGTGGCCATTTAAGATCATAATAAAGGGTATTAGGTGTAGGTGGGGAAATCATATAATTAGTGTGTACCTATCTTTACCCTCAAAGTTAATAGGGGAAAAGCTAAATATGGGTGTTGGCCAGACTATTCTATATCTGAGCTTCTGAAAATGACCCCAACAGGACAGATCACAAAAATAAGAGACATGCCTGGTAACTTACCCCTCCTGATAATTTTATCACCCTGACTTTGGTGCCGATATGGGGCCCATCGCCACTCCCACTGTTTGCCCGCTGCATGACAGTTCTTTTCATCCCAGGCTTCACCTCTTGAGGCTGGCCTTGCACCAAGGCCACCCGACTAATCTGGGACAGGTTCACCTGTGCAGCAGCAGCAGCAGCAGCAGCAGGCTTCGCTTGCAAAGCTTTATAGGGCAGCTGGAGCTCATTTTCAGGCACTGTCCTAGCCTGCCGTAGTTGCTTTATGGGCTTTATTTGCTGTCCTGGAAATTGTGCACCATCTCCAGCCTGGAGAACATTTGCAGGCTTAGGCAGAACAGCTGGGGAACCCGGAAGGACCAGGTCTTGCTTTTTAACCATTAGTCTGTATTTCACATTTTGGAGGGGCTGTTGTGCAACAGGAAGAGGAAGCAATGGATTTCCATTGGTAGGAAGCTCTGAAGGATCTTCTTCCTGCTCTTGGCCTGCAGGGCCTTGCTGTTGTTGTTGATATTGCTGCTGCTGTGCCAGCCTTTCTAGCAATTCTCTTTTTCGGGCCCCAGCTTGAAGCTGCCGCCTAAGCTCCTTTTGTTTCAAGATCTCTTCCCTGAGGCGTTTCTGTTCCTCAATCTTCAAACGGTACTGTCTGGTTTCTTCATCTTCATCGGGAAACTGCAGGGTAGCCACAAAAGAAAGTTATTATGTGTGGTTAAAAACACAACTTTGTCCCCAACACCACCACCACCACCACCAAAAAAGTGACACTTGTTAAAAAGATGGCATGTTTTCCCAACGGTATTCTTAAATTAACTGAAATGCCCTGTCTTTCTTTAATGACAAAGCTGCTAACAAAAGGTTTATGAGCAATTAATCAAACAAGCAATGAGGCAAAAAAAATAATAATATTACTCGATTTTTTTTTTAAATACAGCGAATCAGAAAGCTGAAACTGAAGCCTTCTAAATCGGAACTCATTTAGAAGTTGTGAAACTAATTAAACTATTAATATAATTCAAGAACTCAAATATTGTTTCAAATGGAAGCAGTAACAATAAGAGGCAGCCCACTGTGTCACACAGGTTTTATCTTGCTCTTTTCTGACAAACTAACAAAAGGTAGGATGGTAAATGACCTGAAAGGCCCTGATTAGAACTATTGATTTTTCTTACAGAATTTTCAGCCTGATCTGAAACTCATTTGTCACACAATAATTGGTTATAATGAACAGCGCAAGTCAATCTCTCTGACCTTGAACTCATGCACTCTCTTCAGAATTAAAATGTTGCCAAATGCAGTGTTGGAATATTAATGGAATATCAGGAATGGCTTTAATATTCCAGTCTTAAGCTTTTTAGAAAGTATTATGGCCTTTGTGTGGCAAATAATCTCTCCAGTAGTCTTAAAACTCCAGCAGGATATATATCCTTATTCAAAACTACTGGGAAATTAACAGCAAAAGAAAATTCTTTTTGTTGTTTTTTCAATTTGCAGCTGCAACATACGTTAATAATGTGAATTGCTGCTTTTCAAATGTAACAGTCCTTACTTCTGCAGAAAGCTACAAACCATCTACCCTGTATAATAAATTAACTATTCTTTGATAATAGATTTAGCTGCTTAGATTTATTATCTATATAAAATTTACAATAAAAAATATTGAGGATACAAATACCGTTAAGAAAACTAAGTGTTCTGAAAGCAGTTACAAGAAAATTAAAAAAAAAAAACCAACTGAGAGGATAGAGACACCATAATATTAATAGAATCAATGTAATAATCACCAACTGAAATTGTGACTATTCTTTTCTAGCTTGTGTAAAAATCTTAAAAGTTCACTTACCGTATTTTCCGGCGTATAAGACGACTGGGGGTATAAGATGACCCCCAACTTTTCCAGTTAAAATATAGAGTTTGGGCTATATCAGGGGTAAGCAACCCAAAACACTCAAAGAGCCACTTGGACACGTTTCCCACCGAAAACAAAACACTGGGAGCCGCAAAACCCTTTTGATATCTAAAATGAAGATAACATTGCATATATCCTTTTTTACCTTTATGATATGTGTGTGTGTGTGTGTGTGTATATATATAAAATAAAGGTAAAAAAGGATATATGCAGTGTTATCTTCATTTTAGATGTCAAAAGGGTCTCTCTCTCTGTCTCTCTTTCCTCTCTCTCTTTCCTCTCTTTCCTCTCTTTCTTTCTCTTTCCTCTTTCTCTTTCCTCTAACTTTCTCTCTCTCTTTCCTCTCTCTTTCTGTCTCTCTTTCCTCTTTCCTCTCTTTCTCTTCTCTTTCCTTTCTCTCTTTCCTCTCTTTTCTCAATCTTTTTTCTCTTTCCTCATTTTCTCTTTCCTCTCCCCCTCTTTTTCTCTTTCCTCTCTTTCTCTCTCTCTTTCCTCTCCTTCTCTCCCTTTCCTCTCTTTTTCTCTTTCCTCTCCCCCTCTTTCCTCTCCCTCTTTCTCTTTCTCTTTCCTCTCCTCTTTCCTCTCTCTTCTCTTTCTCTTTCCTTTCTTTCCTCTTTCTCTCTTTCCTCTCTTCTCTTTCTCTTTCTCTGTCTTTCTCTCTTTCCTCTAACTTTCTCTCTTTCCTCTCTCTTTCTCTTTCTCTTCCTTTCTCTTTCCTCTAACTTTCTCTCTTTCCTCTCTTTCTCTTTCTCTTCTTTCCTCTTACTCTTTCCCTCTTTCCTCTCTCTTCTCTTTCTTTCCTCTTTCTCTTTCCTCTCTCTTTCCTCTTTCTCTTTCTCTCTCCCTCCAGGTTAGGAGAGAGAGAGAGAGAGAGAGAAAATGAAAGGCAGACGGCGCCAAACAGGCAGGGAGGGGGAGCAGGACGGGAGGCAACAGCTCCCGGCCGCTGCCTCCATTGCGTCCTCAGCCGAACGGGCAGGGAGGCAGCGGCTCCGGCAGCGGACACTGCAGCATCGTCGGGGTCACCGCCGCCGCCCCTGACCCGGCCGCCGCTCCCGCCGCATCCTCAGCCACTTCGCCATCACAAGAGGAGGGCGCCAAGGCTGGGTGTACCATGGGTGGCCGCGGCTGCAACAGGGAGTGCCGCCGTGGGGACGAGGGGGGGTCCCGATCGCCGCCAGCCCCGCTGCCCTCGCAGCCCAAGGTCTCCTACTGCAGTACCGAGGGCGGCGGCAGCTCCCCGAAAGTGGCCAAGGCGCCACCGATGGGGCCGGGCAGCGGAGAGCCCTGCGGCAGCCAGGCGAGCTTCATGCCTGACTGCCGCCTGGACCGGGGAGACATGTGGCCAGCTCGGCTTCCCGAGGTGCGGTGCCCCTGTTGGCCGCCAGCCCAGCCATGACTGCCGCCTGGCCCGGCCTGTGGAGACATATGGCCGGCTTGGCTTCCCGGGGTGCGGTGCTCCCGCCGGCCGCCACACCAGCCATGACTGCCGCCCGGCCCGGCCCAGCCTGGCCTGGGGAAACATGTGGCCGGCTCGGGCGTATTTTCCGGCGTATAAGACGACTGGGCGTATAAGACGACCCCCGACTTTTGAGAAGATTTTCAGGGTTTAGAAAGTCGTCTTATACAGTACTACAAATAATCCTTAATTTTGTTTAATTACCTTTCAAAGTTACAATATTTATTTATTTATTTATTTATTAAATTTATATACCGCCCTATCTCCCTTACGGGACTCAGGGCGGTGAACAGGCGATACTAAAAACCACAATAATAAATAAATAGTTTCTGTGTTAAAATCAAATTAAATAACAGGCCTGTTCTAAAAACACCCCATACAAAACCCCCACTAAAACATAATCAAACTACGCCAGGCTGGCCGCACGG